CATCTATTTCTGTGCGCCCCCCGCCCCCAAGTAGTGTTGTTGTGTGCCATCAAGTCACAGCTAACTGTCCTGTGGATTTGCAAAGGCAGGAAATCGCATGGGATTCATCGCTTCTATTTCTCCCGAGGAGCAGCTGCTGGATTGGAACTGTGCGTTTAGGTTGGCAGTGCAGCTGGCTCCTGACCACCTGTCATTAAGTGCCTTCAAGTGTGACTCACAGTGACCCTGTGAACAGATCTGAACTTTGTCCTATCCTGTGCCAGCCTCATTATTTCCCACACGCCTAAGCCCACTGCTGCAGTCACTGTGTCAATTCATCTCATTGAGGGTCTTCTCTTTTAATGACCCTCTACCTCTCTAAGTATGATGTCCTTCTTTAAGGAAGAGCCTCTCTTAACAACATGTTCCAAATATGTGAGACTTATCATGAGGTATGTATTCTGAGGCTCCGTCTGACATACTTTGGACATGTTGTAAGGAGGGACCAGTCCTTGGAGAGGGACCTTCTATGACGTGGATTGATTCAGGGACTGGGGTAATCAGGATGGGAATGTCAGACACAGTGCGATTGGCACAGGATAGAGCAGGGTTTAGGGCTGTTGTACAGAGGGTCACTATGAGTTGCAAGTGACTCGACAGCACATAACAACAACATGTATTTAAGTGTGTACAGCACTGTAAAACAGAAGAAATGATGCATTTTTATTAGTGTTGGTGAAGAATATTGAATATGCCATAGACTACCTGAACACCAAACAAATCTATCTTGGAAGAAATACAACTGAATGGCCCTTTGAGTGAGTACAGTGTAGTCAGATTGTCTTGCTTATTTTGAACAAGGGCAATTTCTAGAAAAGTGTCATGTCTGACAAAGTTGAGGGTCAGTGAAAGTAAGGGAAACCTTTAATGAGACAATAGCTTCCGTGAGTTAAAACACATCAAAGACCATGAAGATGGTCAGCAGTGGGAGTGTGTTTTGTTCAGTTAGAAGATTCTATGGAAGGGAGATCTGGTGGAGTTATACAATAAGGAGTTGCGAGGTCAATCAAAAGGGCAAGCGTCTTTGCTGGTTTAAATCCACCACCAGTAACTCTGATGGAAGAAAGATGGGCCATCCCCTCCTGTGCTTTCTACAGCCCAAGAAACCCAACAGAGGGTCAGCCGAGGCAGTTCTGACAGCAGTGAGTTTTGCATCTGATGCGTAACATCACCAAGACTCAGAGTTGACTCAATGGGAATGAACCTTAACAAGAAGCACCAGGTGATGTTACTGATCAGTAAATATTAGTGGGAACTTAGGACAAGTCACTTTTGTACTCATCATGCAGCCAACTGCAAACTTCTAGCACCACCAGGAAACCCAGAAACTCTTTATTCCACTTGAGCACAGTTCACAGCTAAGAAAATTTGGGTCCACACAGGGCAATTATCGTGCCCAGGAAGGCCACAGTTAATGGTTCTCTTCACAAAAATGAGGCATTCTGACAGATTCATGAACTCTTGGGTAGCTCCATCTTCTGCTCTGAGGACCTCAGAATTACGCTGTGTTGCCTGAAGTGTTAATTAAACCAAGGAATTATGGACTATTTATAGGGAAGAGTGGAAAAATTAACTAGGCCATGAAACCAGGGGACACGCAGATTTTGTGTCCTGAGATTCACATATTACATTCAACCTTCATAATTTAAGATGGAACCTGCATAATGCAGACTCGTGTCATTTCTCATTCTGGGCTTCTGAGTGCTTTTCGTTTTGATGGTCCACAGCTACTGTAGCTTTGTATGATGTCCTTACCCACTCAAAAAATCCATTGCTGTCAAATTGGGAGCTGACTCTGAGGTGACCCTCCCGCAGCTTTCTGAAGCTATAAATCTTACAGGCAGAGATGGTCCATCCTTCTCCCTCAGAGCTACTGGTGGATTTGAACTAGCTGCCTTTAGGTTAGCAGTGCAACTCCTTCCAGGCTATGCCACCACTTTCCTCACTCACTGAAGAAGTTAAAATGCATTTATCAAAGTGTGGCAACTGCCTCAAAAGAACCTATGTTTTTCTGTTACTTTAAGAGTTTTAATAAACAGTATCAGTCAATATGCTTTCATTGCATTTAAAAGCAAAGAGAAAGGAACAAGCAAATCCACTTGGGTTTGCAATTATCTCGCATTTTTCTTCTCTTTACTGTTCAGCGGAGCTTCTCCTGTATTGCCGACACCAAAACAGCTCTCAGGGGGCCCAGTTGTGTGAACAAAAGCGCTGAAATCAAAGAACTTCCAAGTTAATCTGTCAGATCCTGGTTGTGCGGTTCTGGGGGAAGTCATTTAACCTCTCTCCACCAGCTCCTACGTCTATACACCACGGATAAAACCATGGAAGTCCCTCTCCTGGGTGCTGTGTGGATCGGCTAATTAAAGCTAATTAAGCCCCTGGAAAGAACCAGAAAATACTATGCAAGTGCTAAGTATTTACAGGCCTTTAACAGTCACAAAAACTCCTTAGGGACAAGATTCTGTGCAGACAGCACAATCTCTTACTGGTGATTAGTAATCATCCATTGCTTACAAAGAAGTCTTGAGCATTCTGTAACACAGTAGGCGGAAGAACCCATCACACACCATTGTTCAACAACACCATCTTTATTCAAAAATATATATCTATGAGACATTTCAGAATATACTGCTGTCACCAATGACAGCCTATACTTCTAAATAAAGTCCTAAATTAATATACAAATTTAAGCTTTAAAAATATTCTTTAAGAAGGAAGAAAAAAAAAAACCACCCACCAAAACAATAAAACCCAAAAACAAAAAAACCCAACCAAAGATTAAAGTCTTTCTGAGGAATCTGGCCTCAAGGAGTGGTCCTTGAAAGCCTATGGATGTCCTAAGAAGAAAAACACAAAACCAAAAACCACCCTGCCTGCCTCAAATCACCTCATAAGTACAAGGAGAAAGATTCATTTAAATTAAACAACTTGGGGAAGATGTGAGAAGGAATAAGACTTTGAAAAAGATAAAGCATTTCATTAAAAGGAGGGGGGCTAACTTCCTCACAGAAGGCCCACTAGTAACAGGTGGTAAAAGACCAACACATTCATTTACATAATTGCTACAATTTCATTTCTTCCTCTTGGCATAACTATGCACCAATTGCTGGTCAACACTTGGATAAAACATAGCAGTGGATGCAAATTATTGTCAAACCTTTTCATTTAGCTGACTGGGAGCAAACACTTCCTCTATGCTCTTGGGCGGTTTACGGCTGGTCAAACTCCACTTCCTTGGCAATAAAGCACAGAGAACCTGCAAGGTGGGCCAGTCGGAAACAAACTCCCACAGGAGAGCGACTCAGTGCCCCAACGGGGTGGGGAGTCTGTGCAGGAACAAGGAGAGGTAGAGGGATCTTGCAGTTTAGTAAACCGACCACTGCCCTGTGGCTTCTCGGAGAGACTCATTATTAACAGTAACAGAACAGGCAGTGGCAGTGAGCAAATATGCGGTGTGTATTGAAATCTGGAACAAAACCCCCAGTTTATCTGCTATGAGGTGAGCCAGAAGAGTACAACTTACTAATGTGATGACTGCTGAGGTTTTCGACTCAGCATCCACAGCGCTAGAAGGGAATTTGTTACAATTTTTAAAACACAGGTTATGCTGAACATGTGTAGTATGTTAAATCAGACATAAATGCCTTGGGAAGAGTCCTGACAACAGCAACTCAAAATCAGGCAGACTGAGAATCCCTGCCCACTGAGATCTTTCTTAGAGCTTGTGGATTTCAGCTCTAATTCCTAGTACTTCCTACTGGGAAAACTGTTTTCTCCCATTTCCAATTTCAAAAAGAAGTCTGCCAAATACTCCTACTACTTTAGTTAGGAGGCTTAAGCTTTACTAAAAGCAAGATAAAATTCCTAACTACATTTCTTAGTCATGATGTCAGCTGGCATGATAATGGAATTAAAATCCAAAATGAATACCTTCCCTGGCCAGTCCCAAAACATCTGATGCCAAGCCTCCCTGTCCATACAAGCACAAGGTACAGGCCGTAGCAAGGGCTGACTGACAGGCAAGCATGTAGTGCCGTCCTTGTAGGAGAGATGCTTCAAGTTTAGCCATCACACAGTGCACATATCCCCACACGGTGGATTAAATGTTAGTGTGTCCTCCCCTGGCCCCCTTAAAATCAACAGGGCAAAGCGACACCCAAGCAGGACCTGCCAGCATAGTGCCTACTCAGTCAACAGGGATCAAACACTTGTGTTCCAGGACCCAGTCAGCAGCACCGCTGGCTAAGTGCAGACTGGGAAGGTTGTGTGCAGGGGTTTTAAACAAAGAACTTGTTTGTAATTCCTGCTTGTGATCCCTGTTACGCTGTCCCTGAAATGTGATTCCACATGTCTTCAGATCAGCTTTGAATCTTACTGCTCAAGACTCTAGTCCACTTACAAAATAAATGTACCAAACCTTCGACTATTCATCACTAGAAGGAATGGTGAGGGAGGATCAAGAAAATTTGGCAAACTTTTTATGGCAAAGCTGTTCAACAGCTGTGTCTCCAACCTTTTGCTGAGGGAGCTCGCGGCACCAGAGACCCCTGAGGGGAAGCCTCTACCATGTTGTGAACAAGCTCAGCTCGGCGAGGGGAAGCTGCTTTCACGAGAAAATGCTGTCACGAGGAACCAAGCATAATTGTGAAAGCTCCAGAGGTACACATGATTTTTAGAACTTCTTGGATGTAAAAAGATAGTTAAAAAATGGAAAACCAACAGAGGCATGAAAACATGAAATGGGAGAAAAGTTGGTCTTTTCCACTGAGAGTCACTTGCCGGCATTCTGAGTTGTGCTTGACAGGAGAGGCCGGGAGGAACTTCAGTCCTGTGTCTCTTGAGGTGGGGCCAGGTAGAAGCCGGGATGGGCCCAGGGTCAGAAGGTTATTTCCAAGCATGACGCGAGCCCTCTTCTTTCTCCTGGTACAGATGGGAATCTGGGGCCACACTTTATCGTCCTAGTCAGTTGAAAACAGGTCACCAGCAGAGGGCAGGGGGGCCAAGCCCCCAGTAACGTTGGGCAGCAGGGAGAGGTCTGGTAAGCTCTGAATGTGGGACTTCAGCTCCTTTCGGACCTGGGTTACCCGAGCAAGCTTCTGTTTATATTCCTGAGGAGACAAAGAAGACAGTGCAGTTGAGTATGTGTCCGGTAGGGACATGCTGAGGGAGCCAGCACAGCGCCTCTCACCCCTTACTCTCCTCATGCAAACTGGCCCCTCTGCCCACTGCAACACAACTCAACCTCAGACTCTCAAAGGCAAGACTCTCTAGAGAGAAAAGCAGAGCCAACACTGGTAAGAGTGAATTAAATGCTATTCAGCTTACCACTTGGTGTTTGGAAATAAAAGATCAGTGACATTCAGTATTTACATTTTCCATGAGTTGTTTCTTAACTGTTTCAAAATGCCTGCTAGTAAATAGATACTCAAACTGTTTAAACATTTTGAAGGCTTCATTTAAACGTGACTGGGAAAACCACCATAAAGCGTATTTTCTATATTAAAGAACTTAGTACTAGATTAATAATTTTCAGAAAGTTCTAATCACAAAATCAATCCATTATTAAATAAAATGGAATAAGTCTCAAATAAACGAGCTACAGAAGCTCCAAAGAGCCCACTGCGACCACGCTGTAGGACCTTCTCATTGCCTCCTAGCCCTGGCCGTGCCACCAGGCCTATATCCAGACAGCACAAATCTGTCCTTTCAAAAGCCAACACAGCACCGCCAACCTGTGCTGTGACAGCTCAGAGCTCAGGGTCTCCCCCAATCACCCTCCTTCGAATGTTAGTTCTCACAGCTCCTGCAGGGGCTGAGTCTCACTGCTCTACGGAAATCTTTCCTCCTCAGTCAGGAGACCAAGCTCATCCTCTCTGCTCCGGAGCCCCCACACACTCAGTGCCTCAGAGCCCTCAAGGCCCGCTCTTTCATACATGCAAGACTCCAAGGTCCTCTGTAAGAGGAATTCCCTGAGAGCAAGAACTGAGTACACACGGGCCTCACTTACTATTCTCTTATGAAATTTTACATTTATGACAATAGTTAAAAAAAAAAAGCAGACCAAAAAACCAACCCACTATCCAACTATTAGTTCTGTGTTAACAATGCACACCTAGCAGTACTCAAAGTAGCTCTGGTGTGGCAGTGAGGTATGAATTTGGCTCTGCTATGATTCTCAGGGCTTTGGCAGTTGTGTAATGTTATAATCACCCCCCTATTTAGTGATCTGATGTGATCATCCTCCATCTTTGCATAATGCCGATGCTGCATCTAACAACCTGGTCTTAGAACCTAACCATGTTGTTAAGTGAGGACATAGCCCCCAGCAGAAAGGACACCCTTGGTAAATTCACACATAGCTGCCCTGAACCACGTGAGCTTCTGTAGTTCACAGACCCTGTGGGGTGATCTTTGTTCCTTCAGCTGCCTTACTCCTCTTAGTGCTCCTGAGAGGAGGAGGAGGAGGAGGAGGAGGAGGAGTTGCTGCTCAAGACTGAACCCTTGTCAAAAACATCACCTGTAGGATTAGAACAGAAAGCACAGGTCTGGGCTGAGGCTCTGCCTCTAATTTGCTAGGTGGGTGAGATGTGGACATGCTCCCTCTCTTAGTCCCCACCTTTCGGGCCAGCTATTCCATAGGAGTGCCCTTTCTGCAGGGAACCAAGAAAACACTAAGAAAAGAACTTGTCCTCAAAAATCCTGAAACGGAGGGACCTGCTCATATGATTAGGTTTCTTCTTCATGTCTAAATATTTGATGTCAAATATCTTACATACTGTTGGGGAGGCATATTTGAGGATAAAGCCCAAGTAATTCTATAATCATACATAAATGGTGTTAATTAGAGAGCTCAGGTCTTTCATTCATAGGGTCACTATGAGTCATATTCAACTTGACAACACTTAACCACTGCTAAGTGAGACCAGTGTTCTATTTGGAGGAACATTCTTCTACTTTGTACATCACTCTTTGTCAATTTGCTGTACTGAGGTAACTTGGGTTTGCTGTGATGCTGAACCTTGTGCCACTGGAGTATCAAATACCCTAACGGTCTCCCAATATGGACAGTATTTGGTGGAGCTCCCAGAAGTAAAAGAGGTTTGGAAGCAGGAGTTGTATCCACTTCCTAAACCACATACCTATGAAAATTCTACATACTTGGAGAAATGACGACAATTATGGAAAGACATTAGGTCTTCTGTTCATAGAGTCACTATGAATCGTACTCAATGGCAATCAACAACAATGCTGCTAAGAGTGAAAGGTAAGAAGGGAGTCAAAATAAGAATACTCAGTTCAAGTTATAAAGACCAAAGTCCTCTCAGCCCTGCAGCTGTTCCACCTTCAACTCGATGGAAGAGCTGCTCACAATGGCCACCAAACCTACCCCTAAATAGGAAATGAGGGCGAGAAAGGAAGTTCTCTTAGCATTGTTTCTGGTCCTAGTACATCTAACACATCTAAAATTAAGCAGTGATTTATGGAACTCAAAGAAGCAGGGACCAGGCTCATCCACCATGCTCAGCAGTGCCCAGTAAACACTAAAAGCCCTAACATTACATGTACATAATCCACATTGAGTAATAGTCCTGAAACGTGTGACTTTGGCCAATGGTCACCGGTTTATTCTTTCCGTTTTCAAATCTAAGGATATGAAATGCTAAGGTCTCCTGTCCATTACCCTCAAGTTTTTCTTGTTTGGTTTGGCACATCTCAAGGGAAATAACATGAAGCATAAAAGCCAAATCTCTATTCCTGGACACGAATTCACTTAATCAAATCATGATTATTAACTGCAAAGAAGAGAAAAGTTACTGAAGTTGCTCATGCTGCCCCCACCACCCACCTCTCAGCTGGGAGTCATTCACACGACAGCCATGGAGCACTAGGAGCTGAAGAAGCTCCTCCTGATTACCGACAATCACCCAGTCCACAGGAAGCAGAGCCTCATCAGAGGCCCAAGATTCTCATTCTCTCGAATGATCTTCAGACTAACTAAGCAAGTCAACCCACTGATAAAACAGAAGACAGCAGACCTGATTAAACAGCAGTTTCCATTCAGTAATTCTCCTCTAGGCAATTTAGGACTCTGTGGTGGCCTAGTGCATCACATGTTACTAACTTAGGTCTGCAGTTTGAATTTGCCCACTGCTCCAAGAGAGAAAGAGTCTCCTCCAGTAAAGATATACAGTTTTGGAAAGGACTGGAAAATCGCCAAGAGTAGGAAACCTATTTATTGCTGCTTTGTTCACAATAGCAAGAGTTGGAAACAACCCAAGTGCCCATCAACAAATGAATGGATAGAGAAGCTGTGGTCTAATCACACAATGGAATATTATGCAGCACTGAAAAACAAAGAATTAATGAAATATTATACAAAATGGGTGACCATGGAGGAGGACATTATGCTGAGTGAAATATCTCAGTCACAAAAAGACAAATATTGCATAACACTATTGTTATAAAACAGGACTGACATGGGGATTGGGGGGGGGGAACTAAGAAAAGAGGAGATAAATAATGTACATGGCATTGAAACAGACGAGGAAGAGAACTGTATAAAAGGAATAGATGATTAGGTATTATTGGCATAACAAGAGTCCAGAACAAGAGCTGTATAGTAAAGTGGTCTTAGGGGGGACGACTGTGTAACAATGAAAGAACTTTTTTTTTCTTTTAAAAAAAAAGCTAACTGGGGGGGAGGGGAGGAAAGGAGAGGCTAAAAAAAGTGTAGGAAATCACTTGGTGGCAGGGGGTTTAGACAAACTTTAAAATAAACTTCCAAGTGTTATTGTTCTAGTCATTACCAAAGAAATGCCACTTTGTTAGAAGGAATTATGGTCCACATCAACGCTCTGGCCTTGGGCCACCATGAAGGCTGAAGGACCCTGCTCACATCTCCTCACGCCTCTAGACTCCACTTTCTAGAAGGACTGACAAATCCTGAGCAGGTACATGAGCTCAGAAGGCAGGCATCACTAGAGAAAAGGTAAGAGTGAATTTCTTTTCAGTCACTGAAATGAATTAAATCTATTCAGGATGACAAATAGGAAAAGGATCCACAGGCCAAACCAACGTAGCGTATCAGAAAGGGTGGCTGGGCACAGATCAAATATCCAAATATAGGCTGAAACTGCTTTGAAAACTGTTAAGAGCACACCTGCTTAACTAGGATGGTCAAATGGCCAAGGAGAGAGGGCAGATTAGAATTCATCACAATACTCTCATCAGGCCACAGCAAAGCTAATAGATCCCTAACTAGGCTCAAGAGTACTGACGGTGACCCCACCAGTTTTAAAATAAAGAGAGAAAGCCTTAGAAATAAATACAGCTATAAATGTTGTTGTGGATCAGCAAAATTATTAAGACAGAATCCAAACAAATGACCTTCAAATAAACTTCCAAACTTGATTTGCCTCCTTCATTTCTCCTCTTCCCTCAAGAGGGCCAGGGTGCCCCTCACTAGATGCCTTCCCAGGGCAGGAAAGGAAGAAAGACTTCAGAAAAAACAGACTCTTTATCTCAACCTAACAGCATGCCTTTAGGCAAAGTGTGATTTGATTCTCCAGCTCCACTGTGCAAAGATTCCACATTATGTCTGCCCAAGAAATCTAGTCCTCTTTTTCTCAATCCCACTAACACCAACTTCAACATGATCAGACTCATCCTATCCGTTAGACTGGATTAAGAGTGCAGCAGCCTGCAATCCAATCTCTTTTAGTACACGAGTGCTACTCAGGTGGAGAAGTGATGTGCAATGTGGCCTATATTCAAAATACCTTACACTTGGGTCTAATTCTGGACCAAGCCTTTAATGTGACATTCAGGTGACCTTGACTGGTCCAAGAATCTAGACAGGAAGAGCTGTACCTCTAGCAGAGAGGACGCTACCACAGCATGCTCAAGCCCCAGTCTTCTCCCCCCAGTGTGATTCTCAAGGTGGTTTACATGGTTCTTTCTTGTGTTCCACTTCTAGACATATCTGTCTTTTCTCAATGATTTAGTTGGCTATCAACACAAGCAAAGGAAGATAGAGCAAAGCAGAATCCCTGTTGCTCTTCCTATCCTGCTTGGGCATAACACAGGCTGGGGCAGAGGAACAGGTGAG